CGGTGCGAGCCCGCGCGCGTGCGCACTACCGCCCTCCGGAGCCCAAGCTCCAGGCGACGGCTCGGTGGGGGGCGGGGCCAGGCCGTCCTGCCCGCGGGCGCGCACCGGCCACAAACGGTCCGCTCGGCCACACAACCGACGATCCTGTTTGAGATGGGTTCCGTAAAAAGTGAGGGTTCGGGGGCTGGGCAGGTGGCTCAGTGGTGGAGCGCTTGCCACGCATGCAGGAGGCCCTGGGTTCGATTCCTCAGCACCACATAAGCAGAAAAAGCCGGAAGCGGCGCTGTGGCTCAGTGGCAGAGCGCTGGCCTGCAGCTGCGGAGCCGAGGGACTCGACCAGCCAGAAACAAAAAGTGAGGGTTTCTTTGCATAGACTGTGAAGTTTCTACTATCTGTGGTTCTTAGAATTCTCTGGAAGTACTCTCTGACTCATCACTGACCACTCTCCCCTGCCTGTGCACTGGCCAGGGCTTCTGCGGGTATTTCAGCAGAATCTGCCCTTCCCTTGCCTTCTTTCATTTCAGCCCCTCCGTGGTATGGATGCCAGGACCTCCTGAAGTCTGCTGCAGAATACCCTTGGTGAATGTTCATTTCAGTTTTTGTCTTTGCATCCAGAATATTTGATTCTTGTCCATCAATTTTTTTTTTCTGGTCATGGGTCTTCAACTGGGTGCCGGGTGCTGTCCTTGAACCTCTTTTTGTTCAAGGTGAGCACTCTACCACTTGAGCCAAGGACCACTCCCATCTTTTTCTGAGTAGTTGTTGGAGATAAGAGTCTCAAGAACTTTTCTGCCCAGGCTGGCTTTGAACCATAATCCTTAGATCTTGGCCTCCAGAGATGGATGCTAGGATTACAGGTGTGAGCCACTGGCAACTGGCCTGTCCAGGCAATTGACAAGAGAGGAGCCACAGTGTTGTTGGGAGCTATGTAAATGAAGCCAAGCCAGCAACCACCAGATGTCCCTGGGTAACGCTCCCCTCAGAGGAGAGCAAGCACAGGGTGACTTTGTGGGTGGCTCATTCTGAGAAATACCTCTGCACTTTTGCTGGTAAGCAGATGTTTTAGCTTCTGTACTCTACTTGGTTTGCCAGATGCTAGGCTATTGGGGCAGCTCCCCCCGCTTGTCACTACACAAGGCTGCTTCTGCGTTCCCAATACCTAGGAGTGTTCCCAGCAGGTTGCAATTAGCTGCTAATTCCCTTTTGCTGCTAATAAATTAGCTCTTAAGAAAGATTTGTTTATGAGTCCATCATCTGTTCCCTAGGGATCCTTGACCTCATTACAGTTTCTATCTTTTTTTGTTGTTGTTGTTGGTCGTGGGGCCTGAACTCTGGGCTTGGGCGCTGTCCCTCAGCTCTTCAGCTGTAGATTAGCGCTCTACCGCTTGAGCCTCAGCCCCACTTCTGGCTTTTTCTGCTTATATGGTGCTGAGGAATCGAACCCAGAGCCTCATGAATGCAAGGCAAGCTCTCTACCACTGAGCCACCTTCCCAGCCCTGAGTTTCTGTCTTCTTATTGGTATCCTCATGGCTAGAATGCCTTCCTGGAACACTTCAGGGTCTCCATAGTTTTCTTCATCACCATTTTTTTTTTTCCAGGGCTGAGGACCGAATCCAGGGCCTTGTGCACACCTGGCGGGCGCCCTTCCGCTGGGCTAAACCCCCAGCCCCAAACATCTTTTTTGTTGTTGTTGTTTATTTAAGGTCTGAGTTACTGTATATTTTAATACATTAAAAAAAAAAAGAGATGGGGCATGGCTCCAGTGGCAGATCGCCTGCCTGCGAAGGAAGGAGTCACTCAGCTCAAAACCTACTGCTTACAAGAAAAACCCAGAGCACGAAAAGGACCAGATGTGAACCCATCCTCATGGAAATGCTGTGTGGAGAGAAACAGACATTCACAACCGCTTCATTGACTCCTGAGCCCCAAGAGCAGTTCCCAAACCTGGAGGGCTCAGGTGTAACTCCCTCATCGCTTCCTGTCCACAGGTCCCTTCATCCTGGAGG